CAGGCTGCTTGGCAAGATCACACATTCCAAGCTCTGGTTGAACTCGTCGCCGAAGGTCAAAGTCTGCAAGCTGCTTGGCAATGTGACACCTTCCAAGCTCTGGTTGAACTCGTTGCCGAAGGTCAAAGAGGCGATTGCATCCGTCACTGTGGCATGCATGTGGTCTCTCCTCCTCTCTGCGAGGGCCCTTCGGAAGCCAATCGCTGCCTCCAGTGCACAAACCTGTCGAACGACGTATGAGATCTCTGGGCTGGACACTTCCTGCAGAGGCTTGGAGGTGTCCTTCAGGATTTGGCCACCAGCAGAGAGAACAAGCTTTCGACCAGCCTTCATGCCAATTCTTCGTGCGATAGTCTTCGAGAGGTCACCCACCTCACGAGATGTCCAACAGTAGAAAGTTGCAAACAAAAGAATCACGACCAGCTTTCAAGCAAAGTTCCGGCTTCTTTACTGAAAGAATGTGAGGCAAGTTCCTGTCAAACCTCTGAGACATCAAAAACATAAGTTCCGCTTAAGGTCCGAGATGCTTGGAAGACCCCCTGACACCCTGTGGCCAGGCTTAAGTTCCCAAAACTCAAAAAACAGAACTTTCAGGTGGTCAGAAAGTTGCCAGGTAGGCGGATCACGAGCATCATCCAGCAAGCCAAAACTCCAAGTTCTACTATATACGTTGCTCAGGCTTTAAGCATTAACACATTCAGCTTCTTTCAGCAGTCTGCCGTCGTCAGAATCCACCGCAACTTTCTCAGAAAGAGGCCTCTTGCTCGGGTCTATCTTTGCCTTTGTCATGGATGGTGGCCCTCAAGAATGCTGTGCTTTTGGGGATCCACTAACCGTAACCATTCTCAGTTAGCAAATTCAGAGGATGAAGACTCCAACCATGAAGAAAGATGATCAACTTGCTAACATGGAGACCCCAGCGACATGGGTTCACCGAACCTACGGATGAGCAGCGTAGCTATGTGCCGTCTTGCCGCAGTGGCCGTCTCATCCACTGGGAGCTGAAAGCTTGTGCCATCGAGGCCGTTGATGGTCCAAAGGCTCTGCGACTTCCGTGCCTCCGCCACCAGCCTCAGGGTCCGCACATGTGGAACACACTTATAAGTAAAAGAGCAAGGTGGGACAGCGGTTCAAAAAAGTATCTGAAACCTATAGCGACTGCCATGGAAGCATTGCACCAGTGGGCTCTAAGTAGCACCTAATATTTTGCTGCCTGCTCGAAGCTCTCACACCACGGTGAATTCTCTTCCGAAAAAAAAAAAAAAAAAAAAATTGTAACCTGGTGAGCGATGCTCATTAGAGTCAGTAGAGAGTCATTGCGCCTTAGAAGAGTTCACTGGGAGCTATGGGAGGTAACTGAGGAATCGAGCCGACAAACAATGGAACATAATGGAACCATAGAGGCAAGAAACGGAACTGGTACAGTACCCGACAATAATCGCAAATGGATCCTCTCCTGCTTCAAACGGCCCTTGTGTATATCCCCATGGTGTTAATTTCTCAAGCAATTTATGGGTCTCACTTCTTTTTCATGATATCAAAAACCATGGTCAGAAACCCTCAAGGAGCGCATCCCATGCCTTCCCCAGCTATGCTCAAGTAAATGCCTCCCAGCAAGGTGCATACAAACCCGTTGGTGGGTCGGGACACATTTTGGAACACGCCAAGTGCGATACCTGTCAATGATCAGTTACCAAGTCCAACAAATCCTCCCACGGATGATATACCTGAATGATTTTGACGGTTCTATTGGTCATTCTGAAAGTATCAACAAGGAATGCATTCGAGACAAGCTGCTCCCCCGCCCTGCGCAGCAGCCGCTCCAGCCGCTCCAAATCCTCTGCGATGAACTTCCGCAGGACGGCTTCGCAGACGGCATCGTCGGGCAGCGACACGGGCGCGCTGGCAGCGGCGCCCATGGCGATTGACGTGGGGCGGGGCTGCTTTGCCCAGATCAGTTTCTGTAGGATTTAAATTGATTTACCAAGTTCAATGATATCCGTCGAACTGGGATGGTTCAAATGGCCACGTTAAGACTCTTCCAACGTCTTTGGCAAAGAGCCGCTGGCAATCACTTGCCGCCAAACTAATGAATGGAATGGTTCACAAATAGTCCAAGAGCTTTGCTGTGGCTCAGTTAGATTCTCATTAGAATCATGTATCACACTTGGGAACGAGTTTCCTTTGAGATCACCAGTGGAATCGGCGCCCTGGCACCCCTCTCCAGGCCGCCCTCAGCCCTGGTGCCGCCTCAGCCCTGGCGCCGCCATCTCTTCGTCACCACCTGCCACATCGCCATGTCCGTCCGGAGAACATCTTGGATGGTCGAATTGGTTCCGCGAGGACGGAAAAGGCTGCATGGGCCGGTCCCTTTTCAGGCGATCCCTGCTGCAAGCGCCGATATCCTCATCCTCCACGAGATCTTGGACAAGTGCGAGTACAAAAACATGGTGCCAGGTGGGGTCTCCTCATCCTCCTTCCGGTAGACTGACCGCTTTCCGCCTCTTCAAAGAGGTAACATCGCCCCCAATAATGTTTCATGTCACACTTCACAGGTTCAAACAACATCTGGCAGAAAAAAAACCGTTGAAAAACATCTGCTCGGCGGCCTGAGCCAATGCTTGGGCTTCTGGACAAAGAAGTCAGTGGCATCACTGTCATGCAAAGAGAAGGCCTCGGCTCAAATACCGCTTAAAGACACTCCAAAAGAAGACGCAAAAGCCAATTTCGTGTCTCACGAAAAGGACAGGTCGGGTCTGGAAAGGAAGACAAGAACCAAAGTCCTGATGAGATCAGTAAGTCATCATAAGTCATCTGTGGTTGGTTAAAAAGCTCTGTAGATTTCACTCAAACCACGCTCCAAGGGCGGTATACTAGTTTTGGATGATTTTGGAGGACTTCAAAAAGCACATGCTTTCCTCCCTTGGTGAGCGACACCACTTTGACACCCCGCCTTCCTCCCGCTGGTCAAAGGCCATTGCTATCCGCTTCTGACACCCACGACTCACCTGCACAAATAGCCCGAGGCCCACCGAACGAAGCCAACCCTCCACGTCCCACGTCCCCCGTCGACCGGGGCGAACGGTGCGGAGAGCCCGTCTTCACCCCCTCGCGGCGATCGGTGCGGAGAGCCTCCGGACCTCGACTGGAACCCCCCCGTAGCCTCGTGGTCTGGTTCCAGGTTTGGATTGCATCGAGAAAATGGAGAAACGAAGAACTGGACTGATCCGAAAAGATTGCACCAACACGGGTGGTGATCGACTGGACCTGCTTGGTAGGTTCGGGAGAGATCCAAAAAACACCAGTTGTTCGGTGTGTTTTTTTCCCATCCGTCCCATCAAACACAGTTCTCAAAGCTACTTCTCATGGCCAAGGGCATGTTTCGACGAACGGAGCGATCCGGACGCGACTCGACCGGAGCTCCTGGCCGCTACGAACTGCTCCGCCACGGCTCGGCTCTCCGAAGGTCCGCCGTCTGCCGCGCGAGTCTCGCCGTGAAGAAAGGCCTCGTGAAGCGACCCGTGACTGGAAGCGAATTGACCTGGCAACGTGGTGAATTTGGAAGACCCAATTGGCTTTGACCAGTTCTGAACGTCCTCGACATGAAACGTACATCCCGGTGTCTGTCTCGAATGCCAATCTGGAACGGAAGAATGCACTGAGTCCCAACTTCATTGACCGAAATGAAGGCGCCAAAGTCCAAGGCTCTCTGACTCTATGTTTTAAGCCCCCCAAAAGTAATGTGTTAAAAATGTTGTTGTGCTCTCTTCAAAAAATAATACAAAAAAGGTTAAGTTTTAGGCCCCAAAATACCCCCAGTGGAAGGCTCGTCAAGAACGACGGCATTGGCAGTGGTGGTTCTCAAACGCCCTGTCTTGCTCAAATCTTGAAGAGTTATTTCCCATCGTCCATCAACCCATGAAAACACAAGCCCTTGTTCATTCTGATCATTGGTCCCAGCAACTGGAATTGGCCTGAGGCATCTTCGGTGGCCCGACGACAAGTAGTAATCTTGGAGCCCTACCTCTCTTTTTCACATATTCTTTTCACATATTGCCATCTTCACGTGCCTGGGCAGTCAGAGACCCTGATCATCTGAAGTGGGCCACATGTATTTCTCTAGGGGCAGAAGTTTAATCCGATCTGGAATCTAGACTGATGCTGTTACTCGGTCTTTTGCCCAAGAAACAGAACTCTACATCCTTCATTCTCGAAGCAAAATCGATTCAGCTCGAAGAATCAACAAATTGCAAACATGTCAAACTGTTAAAAACAAAAAAAAGAAACGGTAATTACTTCGATCGTTGCCCGTTCCAGTCGCTCCGTGACAAAAATCTGCAAAACACATCAACTCTCAGCATCGCCTTGATGGCAGACGTTGGCCAGCTCCGGACAGAAGGGTTCAACAGAGTCAAGACGGCTGCCGTCAACAAGCTGTCGAAACAATGCGCTTGCTGCCCAAACAAACTTGAACAATCAACGATTAATGATCAAACTCCAGCTCCATTATGCTGTGGGCAAAATGGTTTTGCTTGAGCCAAAGATGTTCTTAGATCATGCCCGAAAAAGTGGAAGTCCTTGCACTGCTTGATGCAAAAGGACCTGTGTATACATGTCTAGTGTGCTGCACATGGTGGAAAAATCCATTCGTTCCAAAAACACCTCTTCAGAGCTCCCCTCCCCACCTCCTCTCCTGAAGCCTTCTCTTGTTCCACTGCACCACTAGTAGCACTCAGTCACTCCAAAATTGCACAACTGTTGACCCCTCTTTTTTGTCGTCCAGCGGTGGTGCGAAGCTCGTGCGCCACGCCTCAAAGCTCCAGTTTCGGAACCTGCCGAGGAAGGCTCAAGGCATCCGACAAAAGACCCCTGGAGGGAAGGATATGCAAGGGGATGGTGACGGATGGCAGGAAGGTGTAAGTGACTCGTGCGACTGTTCAAATTTCGTGTCATCTACGAGGTGGCGGGTCGTATACCGAACCGGCTTCTTCTGAAGATGCACACTTCGCAGCGAAGAGGAAGAACCTCGCCGTACCAATTCCAACAGGATGGAATTCCCTTTGAGCCCACGGGCCGGAGAATCTGGAGAATCTGGAGAGGGGACCGTGCCCCTTTTTGATCTTTTTGAGTGTGTTCTTTCAGATCTCGGTGGAGCCAAACGACGAAGCCACGAAGCCACACGATCTGCCGCCGCCGCGTGGGTGTCCACCCTTCCGAGGTGCGTTGGATTTGGTGATACCCCACGTGGGTTTGGGAAATGACATGTTCCGAACAAAAAAAGGGGGTTCAGCTGTCCTTCTTGAGTGCAACAGCCAAAATCTTGCCAAATACTGAAGACATGATTCCATGGCTTACATGTCACATCTAAAGTTTCTATAGATCTCTCTTGCTGCACTCACTTTGAACTGTCCATTCCCCCAGTACCCTGCCTGTAGTTTCTGCTCCAGTGGACCACCGTTGATCACGCCATCCACGAAGGCGTCCAACTCGTGGAAGCGCAAAGGCCCACTGTGCACCTGGCCAAAGGCAAGAGGCACCCCATGCCTAGTTTCGCAACGCAGTTTCAGCACGCAGCTTCGCAACGCAGCTTTCAAGGACCCTAATCCCTGTCCACAAGCATGCGAATGCATTTTCAAATCTGCAAAAAATTGCATCGGCATGGTACCCCAGCAAGAAATCCAGCAACCCTGTTTCGCAAGTGGCTTCATGGACCCTAATCCCTATCCACCAAATTCTAATGCGTGTCCAATCCACCAAAAATGCACCCAGTGGTTTTGTGGACTGGGGCAAGCGGTTGTGCTGATGCGTCTTACAGGCGCCCAGAATGCATCCAGAGGTTTTGTGGACAGGCAAAAGCGGTTTTGGCTGATGCGTTTGACAGGCCCCAAAAAATGTATCTGCAGGTTTTTGCGTTCTGCACACAGAAAAAGAAGCCGAACCGAGTGGCACAGAACCTTCCTAGCTGGCACAGACGCCGCATTGTTCATCCCCGTTGAAATGTCACCATGAAAAATGCATTGGTGTGTGTGTGTGCCCCTTGTAGTCACAGGGATTCTTTTGAATTGTAATTCGTCTGGTTTTAAGCAGGGGGTAGCGGCAGATCATTTGGGACCGCTACCAACGATAACGAAAACGCCCATTTGATCTGGTGATATCGAAGTTGGCCACTCCGACGTACCTGCACCAACTTTTAAGTTTCCGTCATTCACTCTGCAGTTGTGAGCGACCGTCGTCATCCTGTCGGATCGGCTTCGCCTTGAGGTTTTTGGCCTCGCTTCCTTTTGAAGACCCCCAGGCTCTTTAGGACTTTCCTGGACCTTTCAGGATTTGGGTTTCTTAGGCTGGCGTGTGGCACCGCTGTCAAGTCAGTACGCATATCCATAAGTGTGTCTCTCCTAGTGAGAGTCCGGGATGAACCCGTAGAGTGCCTCCCGTGGGCCCGTCGAACGGGTGTCTGTCGTTATCTCCCCTGCCCGGAGATGTACGTGCCCAGAGCGGGCGAAGGTGGCCTAGGCCGAAAGAACTCAGATTTTTGTCTCATCTTTGGAATTCCAACCTGGCTCATGCCTTTACGTGACCGCAGCGGTCAAAGCAGCCAGCCACTTTGGCAGGGCACAGGGTGACCACAGCGGTCAAAGTACTTTCGAGGTTCGTTGGAACCTGTCCCGCTCTCAGGTGCACACACAGCGTTTACATTCAAACGAGGCAGGTCCCTAGGCGCTAACGAGGTTTGGTCTCATCGGTTCTCGTCCCCTCCATTTGGTTCCCCTTGCATCCCTTCCCCTTCACACACTTTTGTTTCCTCTTTCCTTTCATGTCCTCCTGTCTTCATGTCTGGTCATCTCATCCTTTTCTTCGTTTGCGCGCACATTGGTCCCGGCCTTAGTGTGTACGCGCACTTCTACATACATTTTAACACAGGTTTCAGGTCGCCCATGTCTTTACAATGAGGTGGGCTTCATCGGTTGTCCCTGTGCACTTGGTTCCCCTTTCATTTCAACCACACGCACCTTTGCCCCGTCTCGTCCTCCTATCATGTCTACATTCTTTTGTCTCTTGTGCGCGCACACGTGCACATTTGCCCTCACCTTAGTTTTTCGCCTCCTCTCGGGGAGGCGTGTGTGTGTGCAGTCACAGGGATTCTTTTGAATTGTACTTCGTCTTGTTTTAAGCAGTCGGTGGCGGCAGATCATTTGGGATCGCTACCAACGAAGACGCCCATTTGATCTGGCGATATCGGAGTTGGCCACTCCGACGTACCTGCACCAACTTTTAAGTTTCCGTCATTCACTCTGCAGTTGTGAGCGACCGTCGTCATCCTGTCAGATCGGCTTCGCCTTGAGTTTTTGGCCTCGCTTCCTTTTCAAGACCCCCAGGCTCTTTAGGACTTTCCTGGACCTTTCAGGATTTGGGTTTCTTAGGCTGGCGTGTGGCACCCCTGTCAAGTCAGTACGCATATCCATAAGTGTGTGCGTTCGCACGCATGTGACGGAGCAGCGTTGCGCCCCGCTGTTTTAGATAGACGTGGCAGGAGGTCTCTTCGGTGTCCGTTCCAACACCGACATCGACACAGTCTCATCGGTGTCCCCACAAAAAGAGTTTGTTTGGATCCGATGTTCAGACTACAAATCCATGTCATGAGTATACATGAGTCCACTTTGCGTGAACGGTTCTTGTGGTTGTTTGCGCTCTGTTTGTTTGATTGCTTTTTGTTGTTGCGTTTCTTTAGTTCTTTATTTCTGCTTGTTGGTTTTTGTCTGCCCCTCTGCCTCTGCCTCTGCCTGCCTGCCTGCCTGTCTGTCTGTCTTTGTCTGACTGTCTGACTGTTTGTTTGTTTGCTTGTTTGTTTGCTTGTTTGTTTGCTTGCTTGCTGGCTTGTTTGCTTGCTTAAGTTCTGTTTAAGCCCGTATAAATATGTGATTTGGTTTGCTTGTTTTGAGTTGCTTTGTTTTGGTTTGGTTACGGCGTTCTTAAATTTGCTTTGGCTTGTCTCTCCTCATCTCAAAATTTTTGTCTCTCGTTGATATCTGAGATCGCTCACTCCACGGCCGTGTCTTCAATGAGTCTTCCCACTTGTCGTGAGAAGGAAAGCGCGTGCACATCAGTTAAAATCTGAAACATGAACGCGAACATGAAACTCCTTCAAGCCAAGCTCACGCACACTACTTGGCAAGGTGACGCCATCCAAGAAGCTAGGGTCAAAGCCCGCACCAAAGGTCAAAGTCTGCAGGCTGCTTGGCATGGTCACACCTTCCAGGCTCTGGTTGAAGTCCCTGCCGAATTTCAAAGTCTGCAGGCTGCTTGGCAAGGTGACACCTTTCAAGCTCTGGTTGAACTGGCTCTCAGATCTAAAGGTCAAAGTCTGCAAGCTGCTTGGCAAGGTGACACCTTCCAAGTTCGGGTTGAAAAAGTCGTTGAAGGTCAAAGTCTGCAGGCTACTTGGCAAGGTGACACCTTCAAAGCTCTGGTTGAAAAAGCCGCCGAAGGTCAAAGTCTGCAGGCTGCTTGGCAAGGTGACACCTTTCAAGCTCCGGAACCCAACCCCAAAGGTCAAAGTCTGCAGGCTGTTTGGCAAGGTGACACAGTTTAAGTTCTGGTTGAAATCATCACCAAAGGTCAAAGTCTGCAGGCTGCTGGGCAAGGTAACACCTTCCAAGCTTTGGTTGAACCGGCTGCCGAAGGTCAAAGTCTGCAGGCTGTTTGGCAAGGTGACACCTTTCAAGCTCCGGTTGAAGCAAAAGCCGAAGGTCAAAGTCTGCAAGCTGCTTGGCAAAGTAACACCCATGAAGCCCTTGTTGAACTCGTCACCGAAGGTCAATGTCTGCAGGCTGCTCGGAAATGTGGCACCTACCAGGCTCTGGTTGAAGTCCCTGCCGAATTTCAAAGTCTGCAGGCTGCTTGGCAAAGTCACACCTTCCAACCTCTGGTTGAAGAAAACGCCGAAGGTCAATGCCTGCAGGCTGCTTGGCAAGGTAACACCTTTCAAGCTCTGGTTGAACTCATCACCAAAGGTCAAAGTCTGC